GGTTCCAGAGATTTTATGGCTTATGTGCTAGGGATCAGTAAAGAAACACACACACACACACACACTTAAAATATGAAATTTCAATTATTTGTTACCAGAACATAGAAATACAATTATCTTCATATATCAACCCTGTATTCAGTGACCTTGGCAATTTCATAAGAGTTTATCTAAGTAGCTCTTCTGCAAATAACTTAGTCTTTTTTTTTTACGTTAGTTTGATTGTCTGTCTTTTATTTATTTATTTATTAAAGATTTCTGTTTCTTGCCCACTGCCGCCTCCCCTTTCCCTCCCCCTCCCCCAATCAAGTCCCCCTCCCTCGTCAGCCCAAAGAGCAATCAGGGTTAACTTAGTCTTTTTTATAGCTTTACTTTTCCTTGCTTTAGTTTTGACTTTTTATTTGAAAATACTTCTAAATACAGCGATGACAGGAAAGTGCAAAGACCTGCCCTACGTCCTTCATTTCCCAATCCCACTCACTCTCTGCAGCCAGACCTAAACCGTTTGTTTCGGGACAAACAAGAATCATGCATTTTATTTAGTTCTCACTTATCTTCAGTCTTCCTCATTCTGAAAACATTAAATAATTATTATTATTTGCATTCTGTTTATTTGCACACATTTATGTGTGTGTAAGTATACAGATGGAGATCAGATCATGTCCTGGGGATTGAACTCAGGTTTTCGGGGTTAGCTACAAGGACTCTTACCTGCTAAGCCATCTTGACACCCCTCTGAGATCATTCTGAAGCCCTCCTTTGGTTGCCTCATCTTAAGAATTTTGACTACTCTTCAATTTAGGTCTGTCTGGTGGTTCTATAATGCATTCAGGAAATGCACTTTTGGCAGAAATACCAGTGTGGTACTGTGGTCATTGTTGGTGACACTAATGATAGAAGATGGGTCTGAAAGGCCCTGGCATTCATACTCTCCCTCTATGGTGGCAGAGCTGACCTTTGGCTGAGCTGGACTAAGCAGGACAGTGCAGAGACAAGTCCTTGGACCAATGTGTACATTCCTGGGAGGCAAGCTTGTTTCCATGGTTCCCCATGGACAGATCTTGGCTCTTGGCATGCATAGTCCCTAAAACATTACACACGGTTTTCTTCGGTAGACTCATATTAATAAAAACTAGGAAACTAGTCAGGCTAACACATCCACGAAGCAGTGTGTGTTGTCCACCCACTCATCTCGGCTGTGGCTGTTTGCTGCACATCTGGCTACTGGCCAAAGCACTGTCCTGCTGGGACTTTGGCCACGAGGTACACACATCTGCGCTTTCATACCGCATAATAATGATCAGGGGCTGCACGAACTCTGCCACTCTCTGCAGGAGCATTTCTCGTGAGCCCCTACCATAGCTGCACTTCTAACATAGAACTTCTAACTTGTCAGACATTTATGCTGACGTGACGGAGGATGTGATGCTAGTGGGTGTGTCTGTGATCCTCTCTCATGACAGCTGGCTTTATCTGGGTGACATGGCATCTGCTAGACTGCTCTTCTGTAAAGTTAGGACTTCTCGAGGAAGACTTCGCAGGGAGAGCACTGAATCTATGTGACATCTCTCGTGCCTTGTTCAACATTTATCCACCAGATTTAGTAAACACCATTGCCAAGTGGTGATGACTGTTATACCACGACTCCTTCTAAACTTATTCTGTGGTACGGAGGAGCTTTTTCTCCTCCTCATCTACTTCTTCTCTGTATCAGTGTGGACTAAAGTATTTCTGAGGGAAAATAAAGAGCTAGCTCACATAAATGCATTGCACATGGTATTATACCATTGTTTAGTGTGGCCTGAAATCTCAGCTCTGAGATTCCTGGAGATCCAAACAATTTGAAACTCCATCCCTTGTAAGATTTTATATCCCCAGATTGAAAACAAACTAGCAACCGGAGCGTGAACAGACAGACCACTGGAATGGAGAAGTTCAGAACCCAGATAGATTCTACAAATGGCTAGTAAAGAGGCAATTATATAGGTGTCTGGGCGCGGGGAGGTGGTCACTTGGAATCATGCCTCACCCCACACACTGGATCAATTCTAAATACTTCAGTGTTGAATTGCAAGACTCAAAGTCTGCACAGCTGCACCAGAGAACTGGTGAATTATGGCAAAACCAAGAGCTTTTCCACTGCTATCGATATCTGTCCTATATATGTATATGTTAAAAACAAGATATAGTAAATCTTGTTTATTAATACAGCATGTATGGCATCCTAGGGTTTTTGTAAATGAAGAAGACAGAGTACCCTGGCTTGTTTGTGAAGGCAAGTTTGATGAATGAACAAGAAACAATGGTTGTTGCTGGGGCATGAAAATGTCTGTAGGGCACAGACTTCTTTACATTTACTTTTCATTGCTCCTGATCATAATCCTGAACCATGCATCTCAAATCCTGAATACTGAAAAGCCCAAAGATTATTATGGGTCAACTCTAAAACCCCCAAACTGAGCAGGGTATATAGAGAGCACTTGCCCTAGCATGCATGAGGCCCTGGGTTCAACGACCAGTAGCCCCCCAATTCACAATTCTGGAAGATTAGTCCCAAACATTGCTGTTCTAAAACCTGGAATTCCTGTTGAAAAGGGAGGATGTATGTGAGGATTAGAAGGCTAAATCATGGGAAGAAACTGGCGTATTCCGATTGGCTGAATTGTTGGTGAGGGTCTTTCTAGAGGTGATCAGTGTGAGAGCTGGGTGGCCTTGTGGGAGGAGTCTCTTCTGCAGCTGTGTTTCTGAAAGGTGATGATCTTGAGAGCAGGACACTGCCCAACGGCATACGCAAAGACGACCCTTTGTGGATGTGCATACATATCATATCTACACACACACACACAATCATATATATATCTTTGTACCAGGGCTTTGGGATGTAGCTCAGTCTGGCCTTCATCTGTGATTTTGCTATCTCAACCTCCTCCTTATGCTTGGATAGTCCAAACTCATTTTTCTTTTAATTGAAAGACAGACGGATCACGGTGCCCTCTAGTTATTTTAAAGATAAATAATAAGCCGGGCAGTGGTGGCGCACACCTTTAATCCCAGCACTCGGGAGGCAGAGGCAGGTGGATCTCTGAGAGTTCATGGCCAGCCTGCTCTAGAAGAGCTAGTTCCAGGACAGGCTCCAAAGAGAAACCTGGTCTCTGAAAAAAAAAAAAAAAACCCCAAAAAAAACAAACAAAAAAAGAGATAAACAATAAAATCAGAAACATCTGCTAATGGACAAGCCCAGCTGGCTTTTAAAAAATATTTTTGTGACGTGTGTGTGTGTGTGTGTGTGTGTGTGTGTGTGAAAGGGGATACAACAATGTGCTGTGGAAGGAAGAGGATAACTTTGGGGAGTTAGTTCTCTCTTGCCACCTTTAGCTGGATCCCAGGATTTGAACTGAGGTTGTCAAGCTTGTAGCACAAGCACCTTTACCAGCTACGCCATCTTGAGGGCTTTGAGCTGGTCCTGAGAGACTATGGGAGGACAACAGGAAGAAACATCAGTTTTACCCATCCACAATCCTGCTGCCAGTTTCCCTCAGTGCAGCCCTACACTTCTCTCCGATTTCTTTCTGCTTATAAAGGACCACTTACAAAAACCCTTTATGTCTTCACCGGGGAGCTGTTGCCCAAAGCACTTTCTTTCCTTTTCTTTTTAAAGAAACAACATTTTGTAAATGTGGTCAGCCAAAACCATTTTATTTCCTGATTTACGCAGGATGTTCAGGTCAATGGTCAAGCCCATTCATGATAAATACATGACCAAGATTTGAGCTGAATGAACATACCAGCTTGGAAGACAGCAGAAGTTTCAAATCTCAGTTGTTCATAGTTAAGACAGCATAAGCTTCAAATCTCAGTTGTTCCTATCCTAGCTGCAGATTTACTGGAGGTTACTCTGGTTTTGTGTTTTTTTTTTTTTTTTTCTTTCTTTTTCTTCCATCTGTTAAAATGGAAAGCACCTAAGAGTGCACTGTGAGGTCTGTAAGCCTTAAATTCAATGCTAGTCAATGAAGCTTAGAAACTTCTAGTGCTCCCATCAGAGAAATCAACTGGAGGAGGGAGAGCCGGCTCAGAGGTTAGGAGCGTTTGCTGTGAAATTCTGAGGATCCTAGCTCCAAGCCAGGCATCCCACAGACACCCACAGACACACAAATAAGGGAATGAATAGATCTTTTTTTTTTTTTAAAGTCAGGCTTGGTGATGCCCACCTTTAAGTCCAACGAATGCGAGGCAGAGAGAGGCAGTCGGATCTCCGAGTTCGAGGCCAGTCTGGTCTACATAAGAGACCTGGCTTCAAATTAATAGTAATAAAAAAATAAAACAAACGGTACTAGTATTTAATAAACAAATCGCTTCAACCTTTAAGTATAAAAATTAGTAAACCATACCTCCATCTTAATTCAGAGAGCTAACAGCCACCACGTGGGACAGTGCAGAGGGACAGCTGCCATTAAGTGCTCCCAGGGGCAGAGAGAAGCCGGGTGCTAGAATCATCCCACCCACCCCTCACCGGGGGGGGGGGGGACAGCAGTCGGGCTGGGGGGGGGGGGGGGGAGGGAGGAAAGGGAGCTCTCCAGGAAGAGAGGTATACACGGCAGGCAGGGGAGGATCCTATACTAAGATGGTTTTCTATAAGTCAGTCTCTTCACTCTGAGGAAGGAGGCGCGGCTCAAACCTATAAACCCACGTCTCTGCACACCGCAGGCATTTTCTGCTTGTTCAAGTTGGCCTCGAGGGCTGGCCACGGGCCCAGGTCTGAGGCCCTGCAGAGGGTATTGCGATTGGGGGCGATGGGGTCCGTGAAGATGCCACCATCAAGAAGGGAGAGTCCCCAGAGCTGGGAGACTCCTCTAGACTAAGACCAGACTGCGTGGCCCGCGGCGGCAGCGCGGCCAGAATTCCCGGCGCCCGGCTGACTGCGTTACCCAGCTCGGTCTTCGCGTTGGGCCGCAGACACCGCCTCAGCTCGAGCCCGCTGTTTCCTAGCTCCTGAGTGGCTGGGGGGCCGGGATTAACCTTTCACCTCCGCACTTCGTCCAATCACAGGGCGGCTTTCATGCGGCCGCGGGGCGAGCAAGCGACGGGGCGCGGAGAGGTGGCGCGACGCCGGTGGGATTCTCCAAGCCGCTGTGCGCCGTCGCCGCGGGCCGAGCGCGGGCTGCGGCCGAGCAGGGCGCTGCGCAGTCTCCGCAGGCGCGGGCGGGAGGGGTCGGGGCGCGGCGCGGTGAGGCGCGGGCGGCTCCGGGCCCAGGTGAATGGAGTAACCTGACAGCGGGAACGAGGCGACGGCGAGCGGCAGGAAATGGCGGCGGCGGCGGCGGCGCCGGGCGGCACAGGGAGGCCTGGGCTGTGACGCGCGCGCCGGAGCGGGGTCCGATGGTTCTGGAAGGCCCGCGGCGCCCAGTGCTGCAGGTGAGGTGGGCTCCCCCTGGGCCGCTTTGTGTCCGGGCCCCGGGGACTGAAATGCCCGGCCCGCCTCTTGTGCGCGGCCCGCGCGGGCGCCGGGAGCAGGCCGCGACGCCGAGCTCGGCCGGGTGACGGTCCACGCGGACCTCGGGCACCCCGGGACTTCGAGCCGGGGCCTCTCCGCACCCCCTTCCTGGGAGGAGCGGGCTTTGACAGGTCCTGTTTGGCGTGCGAAGCCCGAGCGAAGACCGGAGGTGCACACGCGGGCCGGCGACCCGGGCCTGCCGAATGGCGCGGGACCCGTGAACACCTCAGAGGACCAGGAGGGGAACAAGGCCTCGGACGAGGTGACGGCTGGAGTCCTGGGAAGGATTGTTGTGTGGTTATTGGCAGGTGACCAGGGCTGGCCCCAGGGGGCGGTTGGCCGAGGCCATCTTTTCTGCCCCTCCCCTCTCAGGTCGCTGTGCCTGGACCCTGCGAAGGGGCTTTCATTGGACAGATTGATGTGCGTTTCAAGCTAGCCCTTCAGGTTGGTGTGGATTGCCTAGCAGAGCTGAGCTGCCCTTGTGACTTTGCCTGCAGGACAGCGCCAGTGTCCTGAAGATTTGCTTAAACGGATGATTGAGAAGTCTTTGATCTCTAGTCCTTGCTTTTGTGGGGAGAGTTGTAGTAACTTAACGGTTAAGTTACCAATATATGATGGTGTAGGTATTATGATAATCACATGTGGGAAACCTTCATCGGATAAAAGAGAGTTGCTTGGGAGCTCACCCTGCCTGACTTTCTGAATCTTCGCAGTCCTGATTGTCAGTATCCTGAGCAGCCACACCGTCAGTCAGTAGAAAAGGGCGCAAGTTGAGCCACTTGGGAAATAGGAAACCTGCTGTAAAATGCGTTCACTAAGTTGGAAATTCGTTGGTATAAACATTAAACTTTCCAAGTAAAATTTCCATTGTAACCATGAGCTCAAAAAATGTATTAAAAGGTGAAGGCTTGGGCAGTAGTTTTGATATTACTGATATCTTTGGAAGCTGAGTTCTGGAATGATCTATTTTGCCAAGTATCTTTCAGGCTACCTGTGGCACATGTCGTGTGTAATAAAAGTGCACATGCTCATGAATGGAGAGTGTATTTTATTAGAACGGTCGGCACCAAAGTTGCTTTTATTATGATCAGCGTGGTAGCCTACGTTTATGAATGACTCCAGAAGATGGCTTGTTTGGTTTCAGTTGGGTGATAAAAGACCTTGCAACTACTTTAGTAAGGGTTGTCTTTGCTTCCCATGCTGAACACTCCGTTATGACAGCATTTCTGGGTAGGAATTGTAGAACTAGGCTCTCTTCCTATTGTTGAGCTTTCTTGTCTTGGTTGTAGAAAATATTTGGATGTAGCCTTGACCTGTCTTCCTTGACCTCAGGATGCTTCTGCTTTACTCAGTCTCTCCAGTAGTGGGGTGACAGGCATAAACTGCCAGGCCTGGCTCTCTTGGTTCCGATTGGATAGCAATTTTGTGGCTGTGTATAATTAGTAGTATTTAGGTATAGTTCTGCTTTCTAGGGAGGGTAACTTTTATAGCATTGCATTATATCATTGCCATAGCTTACTCTTTGCCGCTCTCTGATGATGTAACATCTATGGCCTTCATGTCAATGCACGCATCAGTTTCCTCGCTTAGACTGGTAGTCTGTTGTATGTACAGATTGTCCCTAGCTTATAATGGCTTGACTAGACACTTTTTAGCTTTAGTGTGTGTGAAAATGTACAGTTACAGTAGAAACTGTTCTTTACATTTTGAAGTTTTGATTCTTTTTCCTGTCCCAGTCAGACATGTGATCCTGAAGGGTAACCAATGGTCCCTTACATTATGCTTTGTTGCTAAGTTAGAAAGTTTGATCTACTAAGTATACACTTTTCCCAGGTCTGTATTTTCAACTTAGAAGTAGGTTTCTAGGGCCATCGACGGAGGAGAAGCACCTGCATATGAACCTTTCTGCTTATCCGGCCATCTGTGGGTGGATGGCAGCCTTTTGACTGAGAGGAGTTGGTGTTGTGAACATGGATATGAATGGCTCCACTTGAGACCTGCTGTCATCCCTTCTTTTGGGCATATACCCCAAAGTGGTCAGTTTGTTTGCTGATCGTTAGATCAAAACACTAGGCTCAGGTTTCTTCCAGACTCTTTTTTTTTTTTTTTTTGGTTTTTCGAGACAGGGTTTCTCTGTGGCTTTGGAGCCTGTCCTGGAACTAGCTCTGTAGACCAGGCTGGTCTCGAACTCACAGAGATCCGCCTGCCTCTGCCTCCGGAGTGCTGGGATTAAAGGCGTGCGCCACCACCGCCCGGCCAAACAGGGATTCTTATCACAGAATTTGTTCAGTGGATCAGCAGGCTGTTATGCCCTGATGGAGTCAGAGGAAGGGGCTGCTAAAGTTTCTGTGTACCTTGTACAAATAGAAAGTTGGAGCCTGGTGATTATTTTGTTTACCTTAGGCTCTGCTGTTTGGGCATTCAAAAGTTTAGCTCATCCTGAAAGCCAACAGATATGTGTGTGTTATGCTGGCTTTTATTTACAGGCTTCTTTGCAATATCTTCAAAGTAGGCTGTACTCTTTGGAGGTAGCAGTGTTTTGGTAACATTCTACCTCTTTAGTCTGCTGCTTGGACCTTTTAACCATTGTTTCCTGATTCTTTGATGATTACCAACATTTCTGCTAAAGAGACTCTAGTTTTAAAGAATTCTGTGCATAGATGAGCATTAGTGTAATAATTATGTTCCTTGAGAAAGGATGTAGGACGTCCTTGTGTTAATAAAAAGGTGTTTTAGAGAACTATGAAAATAATAGTGCAGGTGCAGAATAGTTCATGGATGGGAGAATTAGGTGAAGAGCTTCAAATAAGGATAATTCACAGCTTACATGTAACTAAAGTGCTTTTACATTTTTTGTTTTAATTTGCCAAAGTGAGAGAGGAACTAGGGCTAATTATAGTTGCCATCGATTAATGAAGGACGTGTACCAGTTAGCCAGGGTAAGCAGACTTTTCTCTTTTATGAACAGGGATTGTTTGCATTCTTCTGCAAAATAATATTGTCAGTGTATGGAGTCAGTGTTGACCCTTCTAGGTGATAAACATTTCCCTCATGCCCTTATAAAGAAACTTAGTCAAAAGCATAAGGGAGTCTGGCGGTGGTAGTGCACACCTTTAATCCTAGCAGGCAGGAGGCAGAGGCAGGTGGATCTCTGTGTTTGAGGCCAGCCTGGTATACAAAAGCCAGTTCCAGGACAGGCTCCAAAGCAACACAGAGAAACCCTGTCTTGAAAAACAAAAACAAACAAACAAAAAGCATAGGGAGAGTCAGAAAGCATTGGTAAGATGCATGTTTGTTTCCGGTGATGTCATCTCCACTGGAGTTCAAGTGTCCCTTGTAGCATGCAGACTTTGGTGACAGATAACAGTTAATTGAGGATGCACCCTTTGGGGCTGCGGAGACAATCAGGACTTTGCAAACTGGTGTTTTTGCTGGCCTTCAGGAGCCTGTGTTGGGTGAAAAAGTAGGATTGCTTGCTTGTGTGGTGGTTTGGACCTGTTAATAAAAGAGCATGTAGAATCAAAAACCCGTTGCCATTGTTCTTGAGGTCTCAGTAGTCCTCCTTGTCCGCTACTATGTTCAGCGAGACCGGTTTTGACCCAGGCTTTTTCAGACCCAGGCCAGCTGACCTTGGTGAGTTCCTGATAGAACATCCCCATTGTCTCAGTGTATGGGTGCACCCCTCGCGGTTCTGAGTTCCTTACTTGTGCTCTCTCTCCTTCTGCTCCTGATTTGGACCTTGAGATTTCAGTCCGGTGCTCCAATGTGGTTCTCTGTCTCTGTCTCCTTTCATCGCCTGATGAAGTTTAATATTCAGGAGGATGCCTATATGATTTTCTTTGGGTTCTCCTTCTTATTTAGCTTCCCTAAGAACCCGAATTATAGGTTCAATGTCCTTTATTTATGGCTAGAAACCAAATATGAGTGAGAACATCCCATATTCCTCTTTTTGGGTCTGGCTTACCTCACTCAGGATGGTGTTTTCTATTTCCATCCATTTGCCTGCAAACTTCAAGAAGTCCTTGTTTTTTACTGCTGAGTAGTACTCTAATATGTATATATTCCATACTTTCTTCAATTGGTTTCGAGGGAGCCTAGGCAGTTTCATGGATGCTCACCTTACTAGACCTGGATGGAGGTGGGTGGTCCTTGGACTTCCCACAGGGCAGAGAACCCTGATTGCTTTTTGGGCTGACGAGGGAGGGGGACTTGAGTGGGGGAGGGGGAGGGAAAGGGGAGGCGACGGTGGGGAAGAGACAGAAATCTTTAATAAATAAATAAAAAAAAGACAACATTTAAAAAAAATAAAATAAAAGAGCATGGAGAGAAAGGTGCATATCTGAAGTGTAGCTAGAGAAATGGGAAATTTTGGCCATGTAAGAAAGCCTTTATGGACTCAGGTCCATATTGACTTTCCATTTTTCTAAAATGGCTGATTAAGGGTTGGTGCTCCTGATACTCACCTACCTGCTACGAGTCAGTGACTAAGATGCCAGGCCACCTTTTAGGCATGGAGCTTCAGTTTGACTACTTGCTGAGCCTTGGTCACCTAGACCCAGAAGCCATATAGTAACATGAGCTGTTCGTAGCTATGTTGAGGTTCCTAGACTCACAAGGGGGAAGCACTGCATTTGTTGTCATGGCCACACACAGCACTTGTGTAAAGGAGTACTTGCTTCTGCTGAGTAAGTAGATCAGTTTATCTTTATAAAAGTTTTAGAAACTAACAGTTCTGTGAGGAGGAATACTGCTGGCTTTGTAAGGCTTTTGAAAAAGACCTTGACTCTTCCGATAGTGGACAGATCATGCCTTTGGATTCTTCTCTGCTTGTGTCTCGGAAAACAAAATTAAAAAAAAATTCTCTTAGGGATTATAAAAGATTATGCCATGACTCCCATGTTACTAATATTGTAATACATAT